GGGGGGGGGGGCGCAGGAGAAAAAGTTTGGGAACCACTGTCTTAAGGTAAAGTTCTGGGAACCACAGCTGCCGATATTTTACCACACAGTGGAGACTGGGGGTTTTCTAAATGTGTTGGTTGTGTCAAAGAGTGGTGGTGTTAGGGCTCCCCCTGTGGTGACTTCTTGTTAAAGCTATTCATGCTCTGAGGAGTTTTTGTTCAGTTTTTCTGCTTTCTGTGTCACTGTGTCTCTTCGAGCGCAGTAATAAACAGCAGAATCTCCAGCTGTCAGGCTGTTCATCTGCAGATACACCTGACTTCTGCTGTTGTCTCTGGAGATGGTGAACCGGCCTTTCACTGATTCAGAGTAGTACATGCCGCTGCTGTCAGAGTAGATATAAGCGATCCATTCCAGTCCTTTTCCAGCTGCCTGTCTGATCCAACCTATGTAAGGAGTGCTACTAAACCCTGAATATGTGCAGGTCAGTCTGTGAGATTCTCCAGGACTTTTAACCACTGATTCAGACTGAGTCAGTGTTTGACCATCAGTTCCTGCAGAAAAACAGAAAATTATTGACTCACCACCATTTCTTTTCATCAATCATGATTTTGGCTTTAAAAAATAATTCTTACCACACCAGATTGCAGACAAAATACTAAAGGCAAGAACAACCTCAAATCTCATCATTGTAGAAGCCATTTGTCTCTGTTCTTACTGTGTTCACCACTATTTCACTGTTGCTCTTAAACTAACAGACATATAAAAGTGGAGCAGTCAACATTTGCATTGACTCCTCCTCCTAGAATAGAAACTGAAATCATCTGATCTATGAAAACAAATTACTGTGATCATTTTAAATTATTTTCCAAACATTATTTAAAATCATTTTCAAATAATTTAGCATCAGTTTGATCCCAGTTTAATAAAAACAATATAAAGCTTTTAAGCACTTTTTAAATTATTTTCTACACCAACTGTAACCTGTTATTTTAAAAACAGACAAATCAATTAAATTGAAACAGAAATTGTTATAAATGTTTTGTAGCTGCATTTACAGAGATGTTTGAGGAAACAATAATTTTTCAGTTGGACCACATGCTGATGGAAATCCTACAAAAGAAAATGATGAACCATAACATGATCTGTTTATTTAACTGTATATCACTCATCTACTGCCACCTACTGTTCTGTGTAGCACTTTTTTACAAACCCTCTGTTCGATACAAAAACATATTTATATATTTTTTTTGCTTTGTTTTACATATTAACAAGGTGAGTTATAATTAGAAATTAAGCCAAGCATAGGTACATGAAAATAATATGGTTGACAGTAAAACATCCAGTGTACTTTTCCTTCATGTTTATTTAAATTCATTAATTTCAAGGAGCTTAATTTTACTAAGCCTTTAAGATCGAAGTCAGTTCTTCATATTCTTTTTCACGTGTTGATTCAGACAATCAGAAGACAACTAGTTAGTATTAAAATGTATTATTATTTCAAGAGCTTTTAAAACTCAACACTATCTTTCTTTGTAGAAGTGACGTTTCAGTTAAGAGACAGAAGGGAATTTAGGACTTTATTAGTGGTATGTAATGTGTATTTTTGTATTGAATCATCTGTTAATATTGTTTCAAAGCAGTTTAATGACACGTTCATTCGTGAGATTCATAGAAAAGTTTATTAAACTTCCATGTAATCCTTGAAAGCAAACATAAACTATCTCAAACCTCTGAATGAATTTCAAATCATGATAGACTGTGAATTCAGTTCAAGTATAGCTCTGTTTTAGTAAAGCAAAATACACAAAATTACACAGAAAAGTCCCTCTCTGGTGGTTTGAAATAACTTGTTCAGGAGTTTTTGTACAGCTTTGCTGCTGGTTTGTATCACTGTGTCTCGTCTGGCACAGTAATACACACCAGAGTCTTCATGCTGCATGTTCTGTCCATTCAGAGTCACTGTTTTACTGGAATCCTGTAAAGTAATGCTGAACTTGTTTTTCATCATATTATTGTAATCTGTGGTGTATCCGGTCCGTGCAGCACCGATCCACTCCAGTGTTTTCCCAGCAGCCTGTCGGATCCAAAATGTAGGATAGCTGCCCAGAGAATAAGAGACCTGACAGCTGATGGTCAGACTTTGACCTGGCTGCACAGTCTGAGCAGCTGGTTGTGTCAGCTGTTCACACTTTACACCTGCAGGAATAAAAACATTGCTTATAATTTTGAAAAGAAGATGACATTCATTAGTTGTGTTTTCATTATTTCTCCCTCTGCGATACTCACAGGATGCAGCCGCCAGCAGCAGAAAAGCCACAAAAAACATTTTGAGGTTGAAGATGATATGATGGGAGTTTTTCTTTGTCTCCTTCAGCTGCTGTTGAACCGTTTATAGTTGATGCCTTTGGGTTTACTTTGCAAAGAGGGAGGACCAAAAATAAACTACCCAATCAGAAGTGCAAACACTGAAAGCAGAACATTAATTACTGATTCAGGTTTGTAATTGCCAGATAATAATAATGTTCTCATTGTTGTTTGAATTCATATTATTATATTGAAGTAAAAATTCTGTTTATTATTTCATTAGATAGTGAGATAATTAGTCTGTTGACTTGTGCTCTCAGACTGGATCTTAAAAATACTGACTTACAAAAAAACCTGGAGAGGTCAGGGGGTTGCATCTTAGTGACCTCAGATGTTTGTCTTGAAAAAGGCAGATTTATCATCTGCATTCATTCATTGTGACGTTGTTCACTGGATCAGATTGCCAAAAAAAAAACAAAAAAAAAAAACTACCTAATTAGTTAGGTGTCAGGAAAATATAATTATTCCTTCAAATATATTTTGACAGATATAGTGACATGTTGATTTATTCCTTAAGCCAAACTGAATGTTTCTTATACACTAAATACATTTTTGATCATGGTAAATTTACAAAACTATTTTTAGTGCAATGTCACATTGACAGAGTTTCCTTTTAAAAACAGCTTTGAATCAGATTCAACTTTATTTGATGACTATGTGCAGACAAAATATAGTGTTTTAATAAAAAATAAATAAATAAATAAAAATGGTCTTAGAGCTCCCCCTCTGGTGATTTGACACAACTTGTTCACATTAGAGGTTTTTGTAGAGCCATGCAGCGTGTTTGTGTCACTGTGGTCGTATCTGGCACAGTAATACACAGCAGAGTCTTCAGGCTGCATATTCTGTCCATTTAGAGTCACTGTTTTACTGGAAGACTGAGCATCTATACTGAATTTGTTCTTCAGTGAATCTTTGTAGTATGAATATCCATCACCATGTTTCATCCCGATCCACTCCAGTCCTTTCCCAGCAGGCTGTCTGATCCAAGCTGTGTAGTAGCTGCCAGTAGAATAAGAGACCTGACAGCTGATGGTCAGACGTTGTCCTGGCTGCAGAGTCACAGAGGCTGGCTGGGTCAGCTGCTCACTCTTCACACCTGAGGAGAAAAATATTGAACTTAGAATTAATACAAAAACTTTTAACAATTTAGATTTATTAAAACATTGAACAGTCAGTTTAATGTGATCAAGCTGTAAATGTTTCAGTGAAACTCACAAGATGCAGCAGCCAGCAGCAGCAGCAGAGCTACAGAGAACATGTTGGTGTTGAAAGTGATGGGAGTTTCTCTTCTTCTGCTGCTGACAGAATCAGTTCAAGTTTATAAACCAGAACAGTTCATTTGCATAATGATAAACAGCCACTTAGTGCTTTTTCTTCTTTCTATTCTTTCACCCAGGATTGAGGGACAGCATGCTTGAATTTGCAATGCTGACATTAAATTATTTTCACTATTGTACAAGAAACATAGAGAATAACCTTTTACCTTTGTTAACTCTTTGTGAACACTAATGATGCTGCTTCTGTCATTCCATTAGTTTTTGAAGAAAATTAGAAAGATGAATTTCTATCTTTGTCTCATCAAACAAAATTCAATTTAGTTTAATGTCTGAAAAAATTTAGGAGACAATAGATGGATGCATTTGTAGAATTATTCAGGCTGTAATTTACACAGTTTTTAAAACACAACACTACAGAAATCAGAGCAGAGGTGTTTTATCAAACTGAAAAACTTATTAATAGTGATATTAAAACAATCATTAAACTTTTTTCATGATTGTATGATTACTTATCTGAAATAAAAAAATATATATATTTTCAGCCTTGCTTTAGTCAAAAACATATTATTTCCACCAGATGATAAAATTATATTATTTTTTTATTATTATTGTGGCTCCAAATATCACTCCGTATGATGTGTACCTATGTAATCTTTTTTTAAAAAAAAAAACAACACAAGTTTGATGAAAGTGCTGCACACCAAGTAAAGAAGACAGAAAAAATAAAAATAAGCATCTATATGTGGAGCCATACATAAGTATGAAATTAAAAGTTGCAGAAAAATTGGTCATGGACCGCCTCCTCTGGTGACTGTATGCAACAGGTGTTCTGGCTGTTTGGGGGGTTTTGTACAGCTCTGCTGCTTGTTTGTGTCACTGTGGGTCTCTGGCACAGTAATACACAGCAGAGTCTTCAGGCTGCAGATTCTGTCCATTCAGAGTCACTGTGCTACTGGAAGGGTCTAAATCAATACTGAACTTGTTCTTCAGAGATTCTTTGTAATATGAATCTCCAGTATATTTCATCCCAATCCACTCCAGTCCTGAAACCAGCAGGTTGTCTGATCCAAGCTGTGAAGTAGCTGCCAGTAGAATAAGAGACCTGACAGCTGATGGTCAGACGTTGACCTGCCTGCAGAGTCACAGAGGCTGGCTGGGTCAGTTGCTCACTCTTCACACCTGTGGAGAAAAATATTGAATTCAGAATTAGCGCAAAAACATTTAATAATTTGAATTTATTAAAACATTGAACAGTCAGTTTAATGTGATCAAGCTGTAAATGTTTCAATGAAACTCACAGGAAGCAGCAGCCAGCAGCAGCAGCAGCAGAGCTACAGAGAACATGTTGGTGCTGAAAGTGATGGGAGTTTCTCTTCTTCTGCTGCTGACAGAATCAGATCAAGTTTATAAACCAGAACAGTTCATTTGCATAATGATGAATAGCCACTTAGTGCTTTTTCTTTTTCTTTATTTTCTTCTTTCACACGGCATTGAAGGTCAGTATGTTTGAATATGCAATGCTGACATTAAGTTATTGAGGAAAATATGATTTTTTATTTTTATCTTAAAAGAATTCAGAAATAGGAACATATTGGTATATAAATGCAGTAATCAGGGGATTCAGATAAACTGATCAATTGATCAAGCTAGTATTTTGCAATATTAAACAGTCCAAATTGGTAAAACATAAATAGAATCTATCTGAATGGAATGATATATTACTTATATTATTAACTGAGTTTTCATGTTTTATATAAAAACAATGACTCAATGATGCATTGGAAGGAAGATTAAAAGTAAGTAAGTTGATGCTTTAAAATATATTTAGATATGTAAATATATTTATTATCTACAATATGTATAAAAGCATGTTTCTTTATTTGTTCTCCTTTTTCAGAGGCAGCATGATTCTGTTCATTTTTTAAGTTTTTGAAAGCCTATTCAGGAAATTGAACTCATGTTTCATATTATAAATGCTGCACAAGCATTAATTTAAACATACAAAAATGTCCATTTTACTTCTCTTATATATTTTTTATTTACTACAATCCCATTTTTGAGAAAACAAGGTTTATATCC